ATTAAATTTTTATCTTAATATGGATAGCTTTTTGAGATTTCTCATTTTAAAAATAAGCAATGAATACACAGATATTATAATTAACTTGAAACATGTTATCCAAGTAGAAAAGGCAAATTTATCTATTCAAATCTCCCCCTGCATTAACAGTTTCATTCTGTTAAAGATCTTCTGAAAGATCTTCTGTTGAAAGGTGCTATGCTGACAATAAATGGCAATATTAAAAGTAGATTACATGAAAAAGAGATGGAATAATTCAATACAGAAAAGATAGTCTTCAAATTAAAATGTGGAAAAACTGCACAATTCTGGACAAAACTACTGAATCTACAGCCACCTATTTATATTATGAAAATAAAACATCTAAAAGACAATGCAGAAGCAAATCTTGGAGACCATGGGTTTGATCATCGCTTCTGGAATGTAACAATGAAAGCACAGTTGGTAAGCTAGAGATCATCAGCGTTAAAATCACCTGGCTCATAACTGATACTGAATAGAATTAAAGGTCCACTATATGCTAAGATACTTATATGTTATATGCATATGTGATATGCATAACACTTAACTGATAAATAACGGATATCTAAACTATAACAAGAATTATTAAAACTCAACAGTTAGAAAGAAAAGAAGCAAGTAAGCAAAATAATCAGAATGAAGCTAGGCACAAGTTGCACCCACCATGATCCTAGATACTCAGGAGGCTGAAATGTAAAGATTTCCGTTTGAAGCCAGCCTGGGCAAAAAAGTCAGTGAGACTATGATCCTTAGTAAACTATTCAGAAAAAGCTAGAAGTGGAAGTAATGCTGTGGCTCAAGTTATTCGAGTGGTAGAGTGCTAGCTCTTGAGCAAAAGAACTTAGAAATATCATGCGAGCCCTGAATTCAAATCCCATGACTGACAGAAAGAAAGAAAGAGAGAGAGAGGGAGACATAGAGAGACAGAGACAGAGACAGAGAGACAAAAAAGGAGGGAGGGAGAAAGGAGTGAGAAGGGAGGGAGGAAGGAAAGAAGGAAAGAAGGAAGGAAGGAAGGAAGGAAGGAAGGAAGGAAGGAAGGAAGGAAGGAGGGAAGGAAGGAAGGAAGGAGGGAAGGAAGGAAGGAAGGAAGGAAGGGAACTGAAAGTGTTGTTGTGCTATGGCTCAAGTGGTAAAGCACTAGCCTTGAGCACAGAGATGCTCAAGGACACTACCCAAACCCGGAGCTCAAGCCTCAGGACCAGAAAAAAAAAAAAAGAACCATATCTCTGCAGAAAACATAGGGGTGGAAAATTATCATATCAAACGTAGTTCAATATCATATGCCATTAAGCAATTGTGAATTGAAATTTCTAGATACAAATGTACTTTTTTTGTCCATCACTCGGCTTTTACTCAAGGCTAGAGCACTGTTGTTGAGCTTTTTTCCTCGAGAACTCCAAGAAATGGAAACGAGAGGTTTCTTAATTGTACGATTGGTGGTTCTTTTTTAATTTTTCTTTCCTGTTTTCTTTGGGTTTATTTCCTTTTGGAGCTGCTTTTGTTTTTTGTATTCTTTGTTTTGTTTTATCTGATTTTGAGAGGGGAAGGGGGAGCACAGAAACTGTGGGATAAAGGGTGAACCAACAAAAGGACCATATAAGATGATGCTAAGCAAAATGAACCCATGATAGAGACACAGGAGGTTTTATTATTCTTGCTGTTGTTTTTAATGTATTTATGATGTACTGTGTGATTGTTTTTGTTTATTTTGTAGTTCTTCCTCCATGGTATAAGCCCTGTTTTCACTGTATTTGATTCACTGCATCTTGTTATATACAGTTTTCTAGTTTGGAGAGAGGAAGAGAAATAAGAAAATGCTGAAATAAGGATACAGTTTGACCCATTGTAACAATGAGATGTATAAGACGCTATGCTGAAAATGAACTTTACAATTTGGAGGCAAAGGGAGGAGTTGGGAAGGTGGGGAGGGAAGGGATTGTAGGGGAAATACAAAGGAGGAGGTAACAATGCTCAATAGGAAATGTACTCATTACCTTACTCATGTAACTGTAACCCCTCTGTACATCACCTTTACAATATTTTTTAAATGTACTTCTTACAAAATCTAATGGCAGGGGCTGGGAAGGTGGCTCAGTAGTAGAGTGCTTGCCTTGCATGCCTGAGGCCCTGGGTTCGATTCCTCAGCACCACATAAGCAAAAAGAAAAACCCGGAAGTGGCTCTGTGGCTCAAGTGGTAGAGCACTAGCCTTGAGCTGAAGTGCTGAGGGACAGCGTCCAGGCCCAGAGTTCAGGCCCCATGACCGGACTCCCCCCCTAAAAAAATCTAATGGCAATCAATATCACCAGCAAATATTAGTTTGGATTGGAGCAATACAAAAATCCAATTTAGTGCTAGCCTGAAGGAAAAATGTAACTGCTATGGTTTTCTTTCTTTCTTTCTTTTTTCCTTCCTTCCTTCCTTCCTTGCTTCCTTCCTTTCTTCCTTCCTTCCTTCCTTCCTTCTCTCTCTTGAAGCCAAGACCTGGACACTTTCCCTGAGCTTTTCTGCTGAAAGTTAGTGTTCTACCACTTTGAGTCTTAGCTCCACTTCTACTTTTCTTGTTGGTAATGGGAGATAAGAGAACAGGAAGTTTCCTGCCTTGGATGGCTTTGAATCATGACCCTCAGAGTAGCTAGGATTACAGGCATGAGCCATCAGCACATGGTTGTTACAATCACTTTTGAAGACAATTTCTTACAAAGTTAAACACAGACTTACCATTTGACCCTGAAATTGAGCAACCTTGTAATAAATGAAAATGTAATATAGTGCCAAAATATCGACCTACAGGATTTCAATATTTAAAAAAATCTCTGATGTTAGTTACAATATTGTTTAACCATCAACATATTAAAGCTTTCAAACTTGAGATATATGATTCATTGTAATCATAATAACCAGAAAAAACTTGTTTAATGAGTATTCAATGAGGGGTAGACAATTGCTTCTCTCTCAATTCAAAAGAAGTTCATACATATTGCTAAAAGAGGAATAAAATGCAGAGAGATAATTCAATTTTATAGAAGGATCTTGTGCATTGAGGCTAAGTGCCAAGAAGAGCAAATGAGGAAAATTGAGTACCTCATCCTATACCGAACTAATATCTTCATGTATAATTTTGTTGTTTTAGTTTGATAAGTGAAGGAAAGAGAATAATTTGGAAATGTACCCTAAAACATAATTTTCCTACTCTGATAAGTATAGAAATTAAGATGTGGAGTCCCAGGAGGCTGCTCCCTGTAAGACTGCAGTCTGAAGCCTGCCCAGCAGAAAAATCTGAGCGACTCCATCTCCACAATAACCAGCAAAGAACCTGGGTAGACACTTGACTCAAATGGTAGAATGCCAGCTGTGAGCAAGCAAGATGAGTCACTTCAAGGCCTAAGTTCAAACACCGTTATTGCCATAAAAACTAAAAAGAGATCCAGAGGGATTAAGTGCTTGTTACATCACAGAAGCTGGGAGCAAAGCTCACCAACCTAAACCTCATATTGCCCAAATAAGCAGGTGCTTCAAAACCCAGCCTGTACTCTGAAATTTACATAGACAGAGCATCAATACCTTATAAGAAACTCAGTATCATTCAGGAACATTGTTTCTTAGATTCTTTCTCATGTATAGTTAAGATTTTTATACCCTTATGTCAGTTCTTTTGTTCCAATATGACCTTTGCTCGTATGCATTTTGTCTTGCCTAAGGCTTATCGTGAGAAACTGTAAGGATAAAGAACAAAGAAATGCAGAGGAGTATTTAGCCTGAACTTTCATTCATAGATATATATATATGTATATAAATGTGTACATACATATATGTTTCTGTATCTATGTGTATATACATGTATATACATGCATACATATGTGCATACATATACATGTAGATACAAATATATGTATATGTGCATTTTGACATTAATTTGACATATATTAAGTGTATAGAAATTATTTTTCACTTTCAATTGGAATATATTGTTTATATACTATATATCCTAACATATACATATACATATATGTTCACATATATACGTATTACAGCCTGTAAAAGAATCAATACTCAGTTGAATAAACGTATGGAAGATATAAAATTCCTATCTATCAAAAACACCCTAAAAGCAGAACGATGTTGTACTTATTTTGTAATCTATATATTCTTATCTAATACCCCTGGTATTGGATAATTTTTAACATGTCTCTTGTAGCCTCGTATGTGATGTATGCCTGTAATTCTGGCTACTGGGAAGGTAGAAGTAGGAGGATTACAAGTTCAAGGCCAGCTCTAGAAAATGAGAGATATCTTAAAGAGATAAGAAGGATTGATGGCATGGCTGGAGTAGAAAAGTAATTGGCAAGCAAGCATGAGATTTTGAGGGATAGCCCTCCCCTAGTACTTCAAATATAAAATGTACTCTCTTGTAACTCTAGACAAATATTCCTACATCTTTAGTTATTTTGAAAACCATCTATATTTAGTCTCACCTGAATATTAAGCTTGGTTGCCATCCTCATAAAAGGTAGTCTTTACAGTTAAATATAAGGTTGTAGATATGGTCTCACAGTACAAAATAGCCTGAGATCCTCACTCCTGCCACTTAGCTAAGTACATTTTCTCCAGTACAACTTTAACTCCATTGGCTTTTCAATAACCATGTCATATCTGACTCATTGAAATTCATCCAAAATCATCTGGCCATGTTCTATGTGATATACTTGATGTCATACTGCTCAACAAAGTTCTATTGCATGTGTGTGTGTGTGTGTGTGTGTGTGTGTGTACTATATACTTAAAATGCATAGAGACATGCACATACATTTGAGCTTCTTTTGGGAGGAGGGATCGGATTCTCAATTCATAAATATTCTAGCTGTTTTATATTCGTCATTAGATAGTGCTATGGTCTCAGAAGATACACAATTTGGAAGTTAAATAAAAACTCTGATTGAGGAAATATATATACACTTGATGGTGTATATAACCTACCTGTAAAACCCCGGTGGCACCCGTTGCACCAGAAAGCTCTTCTCCATGTCTTGGAGGATGTCATTCAGCATGCGGACACGGGTGGGGGCTCTCTCCTTGGGGTCGTTAGCTGGTCGCATCTCATTTGACTGGAAGAGTTCAGCACTCTCCCGCAGGCGTGAGGCCATGTCTAGCAGCTGATGAGTACAAGGCTGATCACCTGGTGGAAACAAATGAGCCCATTTCAGAGCAGACATTCTCAATGTGGCAAAATAGTCATGCCTCTAAGGTACAAACCACCAGACCACTGAAGACTGAGTGGGTTATTGTAGGCAGCTCTCTTCTTTCTGTGGCCTACCAAAAGCAAAGTTTCATGTATTTAAATCTCACCTGGCACAAGGCAAAGCTTCAACATCAATTCAACATTGATGATATATCAATGGTCCAAGGTACCATCTAAACTTGTTTATACTCTATTAAAATAAATTCACTGCTACTGTTAATAACAATTGCAGTAAAGAGAAACTGATAATTAAAGTATGTTTTGCTCTAGAAGGGAAACATTGTACAGAAAGAAATGCAACCATTACCTGACTTATGAAACAGTAACCCCTCAATACAAAAACAGTAAAATAATATTTTTAAAAAGCATGCAGTGCTCTAGATGTTATGTCAAGCATTGTACATAATTATCTTATTCAATATTCATCACATATTTTAATTCTTATTTAAAATTTGCCAATTCAAAGTAGTTATTTCCTTTTCTTTGATATCTATCACACCTTTCATCTGTATTATAGAACTCGAGGGTAAAGTTAAGCAACATGTAACAAGTCAATAAGTAACATACAGTAAAAGTTAAGAAACCTAGTCTTTCTTTGGTCAGTCATGGGGCTTAAACTCCTGGCCTGGGTGCTGTCCCTAAGCTTTTCAGCTCAAGACAAGCACTCTGCCACTTGAGCCACAGCGCCACTTCTGGATTTTTCTGTTTATGTGGTGATGAGGAATCGAACCCAGGGCCTCATGTATGCGAGGCAAGCACTCTACCACTGAGTCACCTTCCCAGCCCCTAGTCTTCCTAAATTAAAACATTCATGCTCACCATGTCAAATTCTGTATTTGGGGGAAACCATATATGAAGCCATCTTTTCTTCTGAGACTAGGAGATATGTCACTACATGCCTGAAGATTCTTTACCTTTACTAGAAATTTTCTGTAATATAAACTTGAAACTATGAAATCTACCAAAGATTGCCCTAAAAACTTTACATTGTTATTTTTGCTCTTCAGATGATTAGTCTTTTGCTTTGTTTCTTTCTTATTTTGGAGAGTTACTTATTGGAATCCATTCTTATAATAATCATACTCCATAATGATCCACAGTCATTCTTTAGAGAAAAGAAACTCTAGTCCTCTAATTCATCCCTGGTTTTGGTCAAGTGACTTTAACTGCCTGCTCTAGCACATTGTACTCCAAGTTACTATTCTTAGTGTTCTTAACTGTAAAATGAAAGTAATAATAATAGAGTAATCAAACAAAGCTACTTCAAAGGTTTGTTATAACAATTAAATGATGAACACTTACAAATTACATCATTTCCCTGTGACATTCCCAGGTGATATGAGTGGGCAGCCCTCTTCTCCCATTGCTAAACCCAGCCTGGAAGTACCAGCATCTCAAAGACTAAGGACTACTTATACCACAAAGGGGCAGAGGGTCTCTTCCTCCCTAGGTGAAGAAGGAAGAGTGAGGATTTGAAGTAGGCAAATGGAAGGATAAAAGGGGGCATTAGGGGGTTTTCATTCAAGATAACATAAAAGAAAGGTCTATTTTTTCCATGTGAAATGTACAAATGTCACCATTTCTCCCAACACTTGGTGTTGATAACAATGCAAATTTCCAGAAGTGTTCAATCTGTCTAAGAGTAGATTTCATGAATGTCTAGCTTAACATGCCTGTTGAATCAGTCTGTGTGCTCTGTAGTTTAAGAAACACTGTCCAAAGGATATATGCTAATTAAAGAAAGAAAAAAAAAACAGTTAAAGGCAGAGCTGATACCTAAAATGAGACTGCCACATTCTGATCAGTAACTTCTAATGGAATGATTGCTACAGGCCAGAAGTTTTTCACTAAATGAAAGCAGATCCAGTATGGTATGTTTATAAAATGTCTAAGGAACAATAAAAGAAAATGACGTAAAGAAATAATCCATTAAGCCAGGCTCGGGTGGCTCAAGCCTGTGATCTTAGCTACTCAAGAGGCTGAGATCTGAGGATTGCGGTTGAAAGCCACCAGCTCAGGCAGCAAAGTTTGTGAGACTCTTATCTCCAATAAACCACTAGAAAACCAGAAGTGGTGTTGTGGCTCAAGTGGTAGAACGCTCGCTGAAGAGCGCAGGGACAGCACCCAAGCCCAGAGTTCAAGCCCCACAACTGGCCAAAAGAAAAAAAAGAAAGAAGTTAATAATCTATTATATAAAGGTAGCAAAGACATATACATCCAGGCTTACAAGGAACATTCTACCAGAATATAATAACTTTTGTTGGCATTATATTTTTATAAGTCTAGTCAACGATTATGGTAGAAGAAATAGTATTCTAAGTATCTTTCTGTTCACTAAAGTTAATGAGTAAAATGTATTTTAGTAGTTTGCAAGTGTTTAACATTTTCTGTTTTAATGTGCATTACACAGACATTAATTAATTATTTTGTTCTGTTTTACAACAAAACCTGACATTACAAGAGGATATATTTTATTCATTTTTGAAACCATAACCTCCAAATAACAGGACCTCTTTATGGAGACAACTCATTTCTTAAATTATGGCTGTTCACAAAAGTTAAAGTTTCAAGAATCTTTGCATAAGGACAGAGTAAGCTGAATAAGGCACATTTAGATTTCAGTAGAATAGAAAGACTGAACAACAGAAAAAACAAGTTTGACATCCTTGAGAATCTTCCATTTAAAAAAGAAAAATCTCTTCTGATCTAACATACACTGCAGAATTGAAGCCATTATTACCGAATCAAGTGAGACAAATTGTACCATTCTACCTTATTTATCTCTAAATGAATTTATCCCTCATGGTAGTGTAGATGTAGGAAATTGACAGTTTTAGGAACCAGTTGGTTCCAGAAAAGAACCTGATAATAGAAATCTGCCAACCACAGCATACTTCTAAGGTATGAGGTTACAAATTGAACAGGAGTTCTACTTTCAATGTTCACTCAATCATTTTGATATATATCATTTCAAAGATTCCTACTAGTCATGTCTCTGTCAATTAGAGCTTGTTGCTACTTTAAATAAGACCCAGAAAAAATGTCACTCTCTCTAGAGAAGATTTGTGACCTAAATGACTGATTCCTGTTGGGGAGGAAATGAAGGTCTGTTTATTCATTGTCATTTACCTGCACCTAGAATTTCACCAAGCATATCATTCAATCAATGAATTAGTGTGTTAGATAGTTTTATCCTAGCATTTGCAATACTGTTATCCTTCTTTACATCATTTGTCTTGTCTTTATGATGGAAAAGAATCCCACAGGATCAGCAATTACGTTTTATTTGCGTTTATATCGCCAGATGCTTATACAATAGCTTTTCTGCAGCTGCCATTTATCAAAAAATTTGTTGATTCAATGGTGAAATAGAAGATATTATCTAATTTGAGATATATTATTATATTAAGCAATGTCTATAAAACCATTCAGGGAGCTGAACAAAAAGAGGAGACTATTTTATGGTAATGTATGTTAAATGAAACTAAATTGATTAAAATATTTCCTATAAATAATCCATAAAAACTATATATATATGTGTATCTATTTATATAGATATACATATAACAATTTAATAGGCCTACTGAATGTCAGAACATAGTGTGAAATGAAGGCTGGGAATAACTAAAATGTTAAAAGTATCAAGTTCTAGGGCCAAAAAAACTAAATGGAAAATAGATATTTCTTTGGGGAAAATTATTACAGTTATTTTTATGTTATGTACGTGGAGTCTAAATTTCAAGAATTTGGTATCAAAGACCAGATAAGAGTTTGGTCTGCTTAATTACTACCCAAGTGGTCTCCAGTAAATGATTTTAATACTATTTTTCTGTATCTTTGGAGAAAATGGAAAATTGGCCTTTTACTTTCTAAATGCACAACTCACTCATGCAATTATTATTCCTAGGGTACAAAAAAGAAATACAAGTTCCTTCCAACATATTTTTGAAAACCATGGAAATAAATACCCTTGTGGCATGTTTTAGTTTATCCTCAAAAGTTTACATTATCATTTTTTAATGTCTGTGACCTACCAACTGCATTAAAGTGTTCCCTAAATCTACTTTAAGGAGAATTCTTGATCCTCTTCTGTAAGGTCTATGAATCTAGAGCTATATTTTCTTTCCATAAGTTGACACTGAAGAAGGGAAATGATAGGATAAAGTGACAAGAATTACATAGATAACTTAAAATGAGTTTCATATATCTTTGTTCTTGAGGAAAAGCCTCTGGTGTTATAGAAATATTAACATTCAAGCAACATAATACAAATAATTAAAACTGTTTGCTAAATTTATCTTATGAGAGACAACTGAAATTCACTTCTAAAGTTCAACCAGGATATTTGCATCTCAAAGTAAGATGCATTTATGCTCTTATAAATCCCTATTTTCTATAAGTACTAGGAAATAAGCAATGACACCTAAGATTAGATCTCTAATCTTCAGATTTTTCCAGATCTACTTAGAAATAGACCAAATAGAGTTAAACCTACAAAAACTGTAAATGTCAAGTTACATAAATGCTTGGGAGGATGAGTAACATTGTGTAGTAGAATGTTTCAGGGAAAGCCTGCAACTTAAAGAGCAGATTGTGGTATTATCAAACATTCAAAGATATCTCAAGCTCTTACAAAGTCTGGTCTTTTATCTAGATTAAAGCATTTGAAAAACCATGTCCCGTAAACTATGGGGACCTGAGAGCCCCATGGGAGCTTAGAGCAGCAGAGGAAGAGTGATTGGATGATGTGGGTATGGAAAGCCTGATGCCAGAGTGAAACTGATGGTTTGCATGTTTGCGTTTGTGTTTGAGTAAAGGCTTATGATTCTAAGTCCTGGACATTACACAATGATCCTGCCCAAACACAGAATAAATGCTTATTCTTTCCTTCCCCTAATCTTTTCTTTTTTCATTTGCCCATTTTATTTATTTATTTA